ACAGATTTATTAAAATTATTTCTTTTTCTTTTTTTTGAGGCGCTGTGATTGGGAGCCAGACTCTTAGCGACAGGAAGGGCCTGGCAGATGAGCGCATCCGTCACTTTTATAAGATTTGAAGATTTTGCAAATCATTTTATTGCTTAGATAGCAGCCTTCCCGTGGTGGCAACAAACCTGGCACTGGGTCAGGCAAGGGGACGGGTGCGTGGCGTGAGGAGTCGTGCACACCGGGCACTCCTCTCCTGCCGAATCCCAGGGCGAAGAGGGGCGAAGCCCCGCTCGGGTTTAAGAGACGTTTAAACTTCAGGATTTATTTAGACAAACAGGCTTGGCTGATTGGAAACTTATTTGTAGGTAAACGTGTGTTGCTCCCCACTCCTCCAAGCCAATTCCACCCATAATACTACAGATAAAATATATTTGTGCTAGTTTCTTAGGCTCTACTCCCTGTTAATTAAAATTGGGAAAAGAAGCATTTGCAGACCGAGCTCCTCTCCCGCCCAGCACCAAGGGCATATTTTTCCAGGAATGTAAAATATTGTGTGTACCAGGAATCAGTCTGTCTGATGTTGTCCTAACACCTACTCTGATAAGAATGTGTCCTGCCTGTAATTCAGATACTTTTTACGTGGTGGAAAGAGCGTAAATCCACCATGCTGAACAGTAATTAAGCTGCCGGCTTTAGCTCGGGTGCTCTCCCTGGGATGGCTCTGTCTTCCCCTGTGTCTCTGCCTCGTCTCAGTGAGGATGATGCTGTGATCTGTCACCTCGGCTCCAGAGAAATCATCCGACAGAAAGCGTGGGAGCCTGCCTTTCCTTGGAAGGCTGAGGATGGCGACAGCTTCGTTGTCAGGTCTAATTACTGCCTGGATGTGCACTTAGTAATTTTCTGTACAGAGTAAATGGCCTCCAGTTGGCAAGGTGAATGGAGCAGTGCAGGGCAGGGTGAAGCTGAAGGAGCAGCGGCCCTGGTTCTGTGCCTTGGCAAGGTGTTGCCAAAGCAGTGTGCAACCAGGGCTCAGGTGGATCATTTTGGAGAGGTTTCTGTGCTTTATTTTCATCAATAAATTTTCCCCTGAGCCGCTGGTTTTGCGTAGGAAATGCCACGGTTCCAACTTCTACGGTTTCGCGTAGCAAATTCCACGATTAGACTTTCACTCTAGGCCAGTGAATAGTACAGCTCTTTTAAAACCTCTTTTAAAAGCACGTTTTGTTTTTGAAGACAGCGAGTGGATTTGGGAATGGCATTGAGTGGGGTTTTTTCCCCGCGTTTTCCACGGCCGGGTGGGTGCAGGAGGGTCGGGTCCCACACCCGCCGGAGCGCGCGGACGAGGTC